GGTTAGGCAACCATTTTAATGGCATTAAGGAAAACTTTAGCAGAAGTGGAAACAGAACTCAAAGGTCCTAGTTCTGAGCCTCACTTACAGATGTCTCCCTTCACTAGATGGGGTGTTTAACAAATAGTTGACCTGGGAGTGTTTTCTAGCAGCCAGCTTCCTTCAGTGGAACATATTTTAGTTTTGCAAGAAAAATGAACAGCAAAACATTTTCCTCTCAGAGGGGCCTGTCACACGTTCACTTACAACCACATCAAGCCATGGGAATATTGTGATGTATAAAGGTTAGCATGTGTTAGGATGGTGTCACACATTCACTTGCAACAGTTGCACATTGTATGTAGTGACATATTAACGTTAGTACACAACTTTGCAACACCATTAAGGTACTTTAGAAGTGTTAAATTCCTTGAATGGGTGTTTGCTCATGTCTTAACTGAATTTAGCAGGTGTTAAGAGTTTAGAGCAGTTAGTGGCTTTCTCTGAGGCCTGAATAGATGTAGGGCAGGCCTACCCTGCCTCAGACTGTGAGGGAACAGCAGTAGGAAACATGCCATGCCCCTATCCACACATGCTACGTTCCTAAATTAACACCACGTAGCTGCCTCAATGTAGCATTGGGTGTGTGACATTAAGCTCTTCTGAGAAAGTGAGTTTGTTGGCACATAGCCAATACCCCACTAGGGCAGCTACCTTGCATCCATTTTAGAAGCTGCCTGCTGTCCTGCGAGTCTCCCTAGTGTGGTGCTAAGGTGGTACGGACATGCCCCTAGTGGTTGGCAATACACCCAGTCTAACTAGAGATGGCTCTGGCCTCACCAGCAAGCAACAGCAAATCATGCTGGAAATTGTCAGATTCAGCTATACCACTGTGCACTCTATAGAGGTAAAGAAACTGCTGAGCCACAGAAAAAATGCTGATTTTCACTGTCTTCCCAAGACAGCAGAAAACAAATAACACACATACGTATTGTTGTAACCCGGATGATCCAAATCATGGCACACTGCTGCCGTCATCAGAATTAAGATATCAATTTGGGAAAATTTCTCCTACAACAGAAAATAAAATAAAATAAAAGTTCATGTGGACTCTGAAACTTTCTATATTTTTTTTGCTAAATGCATTCACAGTTCAGATAAAGGAATGATCTGTGCAAGCTGTTATTCAATAGGCAAGCATATTGCATATATGAAAGAAGATGCCCCTATTCACTGCACCAAGAAATGACTTAGAGTTGGCAGTAATTAAATATCAGTAGCTTGGAGGAGGCAAGTGGAATTTTCTCGAGACTTGTAATAATTGCCTAGATTAGAACTTGCCAAAGAATAGAGATGTTAATACTAACTTCCTTAGAAATTGTTCAGGTGTCTGCATGAGTTAATGTGGGGTTGGAAGAAAACTTAGATGTCATTATGGTCCCTGGCACAAGTTCATTTAATGGTGCAATAAGATCCGATTCCCAATCCTAACATTTGCACCTCCTGCCTTGCCACATGTGGATGGCAGGATGTGTAATTTTGGGATCAGGGATCATTTCAACCACGCCGTGACTATGTGTCAGTGGAGCTGGAGCCTGGGAGTCTTGATCTAGGGTTCCCCTTGCACCAGCAAGATAAAAGTGGGGTGCCAGTAGCTTGGCATCAACTAGCTCCCATGCAGTTCCAGGGCTGAGACTGACAATCAGCTGATCAGCCCTGGGACCACACGGGATTGGGGCTGGTTCAAAACTCTGGCACAGTCCTGGGGCTAGAACAGCACAAGAGGTGGTTCATGACTTTGGTGAACTCCTGGGGCTGGGGCCAGTTCAAGTGGTTAGTGCAGTCCTAAGTCTGGAACCACCAATCAGCTGAATGTCAATCCTAACTCAGAGCCCTGTGCACTGGGATGCCAGAAAACTGTGTGTACAACCAGGCTGTACACAGGTCTTTTGAGGTGCTGGTGTGCTGAGACATCAGGATCTGGGAGAGGTTTCCTGGTTCTGGGGACCCCATGCACTGGGAAGATCAGACAACATCATGTGCAGCCTGGCTACACCTGCAGGTTTAAAGGTCCTGGTGCATGGCAACCCTGGGATCAAGGGACTTTCTCTCCAATCCCAGGGTCCCTGTGGCCAAAATGTGCTAAGTGTCTTGCTCTGCAGTTTCATGGGAGCTGTGAGGAAAGGCTCTCAAGCTGCTGGGCTGTGGGGAGCTGTGCAGCTCCCTGCAACCCAGCACCAGAACCTGCCTTGCTCCTCAGCCCCTGCAGGAGCTGTGGGACAAGTCAAATGCCATGTTGGGTTGTGGGGAGCCCTGCGACTCCCTTTGGCCCAGCACCCTGACTCAGCTGATGAGCTCCCCTTGAGTTGATGCCTTGAAAACAGCAGGGTGCAGCCCCAATCAGGGTTGCACCATATTGCCATCGGCCTGCTGACACAGGTGGAGGTGTCAACCAAGCCCTGCCATGCAGCTAGCATCAAGTTGCATGGCAGGACTACCCTGCCACATATCTAATTTAAGATGCAATGGAAACCAGCCATAAAAGCAGAGTAGATTCACAGCCTCATACCTGGGCTTGGTGTGTGTGTAG